ATGTGAGATTTGGTTTCACTAATATATCATGATGCAATTTCACTCTTACACAATCAACAGACTGGTGAAGACAGTTTCACTTTCTTAGAACTTTGCTATTATATTCATGTATATAAATTTTACTTGGCATGTAAATCTACTTGAATAATATTATTTCAAAAACTGCTTCAATTACATGCTATTCTAAAATGTATAATGTCTTAAAGTTCTTTCTTGACTCAAGGACTAACAAAATTTCTGTGTAGATTCTACTTTTTTACAAAATATTTTCATTGACGATTTACACAATAAATGAACACATTTCAATAAGTAGTGGCTGAGGGGTTAAGCGCTTGGCATCTGAACTGGCAGTCCTTTGTTTGAATCCTGATGACGACTGGGATTTTTTACTTCAGGATCTTTGAGTGCCCCTGAGACCGCACAGCTTTAAAAGATACCTGACATTAGTTGGGAAAAGTAAAGGTGGTTGGTCATTGTGCTGGTCTCAAGACACCCTCGTTAACCGTAGGCCACAAAAACAGATGATCTTTACATCATCTGCCCTATAGATCACAAAGTCTGAAAGGGGAACTTCACTTTACTTTTAATCATTTTAACTATCCCAGTGTGTATTATTTAGGCAATAAAATACAGTCAAATAGATGGAGAAGAAATGTGTGAAGGAGGAGATAAGTTAACCTAAAGAGAGAAAAAAAATTTAAGAAAATATAAAAAGGAAGATGGGTGGAAATTTAGAATAAAATAGTTACACTAAACAATGTCAAGGATTTGGTATTTAAAGATCTCTCTTGCCAACTAAATAATAAATGTTACTAAAAAAATTTATGAAAATTACATACTTTTTAACATACCTAGCTTATTTACATTTCCTATATTATGTACACCAGAAATAGTTATGTACCATAGATCAGGCCTTTTTTTTGTGACGTACGCTCCTGTATGGCATACCGACACTTTTTTCAATGTGGGGAAAAAATTATTACTTTTCTTATATTTTAACATATATTAATAATTAAAAAGTTAGGCAATTCATCACTGAGTACTGGCACCTAATCACTGAGTACAGGCACCTATTTTTTTCTTTACAAAAAAAGCACTGCCATAGATGCAGTCTCTTATAGCTCTTCAGTAAAGAAGCTAACTATTATGTTTTCTTTTTTTTATTATGTTTTTATGTACAACTTATTAAGTAGTTTGATATAATATTTTTTTTTATTGGTCTTTAAGCTAGACTTTTGTACTCTAGACACTCACACAATGCACATTGGATTAATTTGACACACTGTACATAATTTAGAGATTTGGAGTATCAACATAGGATTAATCTAAAAAATTGTCTACAATCACTTTGAATGCAAATATGTACCTAGAGTGAGAAGTTATTTTTTAAAATCATTGTGGAAAACCAAACCCACTGACCTATATTACAAACGTTAGATAGATTAGCACAAGACTCATTGTTTATTTATTTATTTAGATGGCTGATTACAGGACATATTAAAAGGTTTAAATTTTGAAATGCCCTGATCAAACAGACACAAATTAGAACCTGCGGCCATGGCCTGAACAGTGGTCAGATCTGCCATTAGTAAAGTTTGCTTTCAGACCTAGTGGTCTATGGGCCAGAGAATGTTGAAGTCATCATTTTCATCAGTATGATGGACTGGTTTTACTTTTTCAAATAGATATTCAATAGAGCTTGGTTGACTCAGAGAATCTCTTTAAAATCCAAAATCCTTACCACAGCATTAACTGAAATCTGTCTCGAGATGCCTCAGATTAGAAGCTATATCTTTTATTACTGATTAGTGGTCCATCATTCCCCATGCTTTACACATCAGTCTTCTTTTCCCATGTTGCTAGTTTTATGTTTTTGTTGAAGTTTTATTTTCTGTTTTTAAACATTTTGGATAGATATGTAGATTATTTCAATTACCAATTTTTTTCTGCTACTAGATCTTTGGTTTTCTTAACTTTGGAGTTTGGATTGGGAACCTGTGGTTTATCTACAAGGAGACTCCATGGTTTAAACTGACAAGCAAACCACCTACAGAGCCAGGTACTGTGTCCGACTATGACCCACAAAAGGTCTAACGCCTGTCCTTTTCTTCTGCTGCTCTGCTGACTTGAGCCACTGAAAACGCATGTGTACTGAGGACAGTGGTCATACTAACTTCTAATTTAGTTTGTTTGCATTGCTGTTGACTGTGGGTTTATTTGTGTGATGTAGGAGGGGTGGTAGGTGAGCATTGAACTTGTTTCTGTGATGTTGATATGTGTGATTTGTTCTATGGATAGACTAGCTTTTGAATGATTGTGTAAGTCAGGTCAAATCAGCAAATGATGGTTGTTTCTCAGTATGTCACTGAATCTTGCTATGCTAATATTATAAATATATTATCATTGTCTTGGCACATTCCTCTTCCTATAGCTTTGCAAGAAAACCACTGGACTTCAGGAATGGATAGCACCAGCTGCTGAATTATTTGTAAATGAAGCAGTTTTTTTTTAAAGCTTATCTGTCAGTAAATGAAATAGAGAAATAACAAGAAAGTTTTATTATTGAACAGAACTGAAATTTTGGCTAATGTTTAAAGATATCTTTAAATATCTTTAAACTCCGGCAAAAATACAATCTCTTGAGATTTAATTAGACAAAATGCATCCATGTGTCTCTTATTTTCTTTTTCTATATTTTAAAAACAATTCAAGTTATACAAAAGATATACACATTAAAAAAAACAAAAAAACTCACTACTTCTTATATCTAATGATACATAATAATGCAAAGTGCAGTTGATCATGCACATTCAGTTACAGTATCCCAATTACTTAGGCTTTAGTCTTTAAATAGTTAATGTCAGTGATAGATGAAAGGTTTAAAAAGCTTTGAATATAATGAATAAAGCAGTAATAGCATCTAGATGGTTCTAAGTATGCTCATAATATTGTTCATCAGTCTTCAGCTTTATTTTGCAACTGATTCACTTACAAATATGTATGTGTGTGTGTGTGTGTGCAGATTTAGATTATATGTTTATGGACTTTACAAGGACTTGTCCTTGCTTCGAAGAAATGGCATAATTCCACAGCTTTAAACCTCATTTCTTAATTTTTTTTAGTTCTCTTTGGCACTTACTAAGACTGTTAACAGATCATTCAGATTCCTAGAAAGAAATCCACCGGCAATATTTTACTATTATTTCATTGAATTTACTATGTTTTGGTTTTTTCTGTATCATACTCAGGAAATTAAATATTTTTTATTAGATGTAACAGTCTAGTGAATAGATTTTCTTGCTCTGAGCTATAAATTGTGATCACTGGCACATAGAACTCTGAAATCATCACTGCATGTCATGTGGGGTGGGAAGGAGTGCCAAAAGATATTTCTGAGCTCAGCAAAATTTTGCTTTCTGAATGTTGTCATTGTAACATGTGGCTACTCTCTTTCTGTATAAGCAAGCTGCAACTAATAGGAAACAATATGAGGAAACTAATAAGATGGCTTGAAATATCTGAATTTGAAGTCTTCTTACTCTTGTCCATAACAAATTTTTCAATAAAACATTTTTTTTTCCCTCTCATATATATAGATTAAACAGAAGTTTGGATAAGTTTCAATTTTAGTCCATTATTTGAGTTTTTTTTTTTATTTAAACAGTGAGTGATAGAAATACATATTCATAGGCAAATTCTCTACGACCAAAGTTTTAAGTTAGTTGTGATAAGTGGCTCTTTCATTATAGATATACAAAGACTTACATTCTCTCACAGAATTAATGGAAATGCATTTTATGTTTTGCTTATTGTTGATGATGCTTTAAGTTTATGGTGAAATGAAACTAACCAGGCCCAAGACAGGACATTGACCCAGTTGAAAGATCATGAGTTACATTGTACATTGTACTTTAACATATAAAATCCTAAAACTCTGGACTCACCCCTTTTTCTTCTGTTTTACATCAGCCAGCACCCCCCAGTCTGTAGACAGCAGCATCAATCACATCTGAGGCAACCCTTTTTTTTACGATCTTTGAGGAGGACTTAGGCATGTGTGCACTAGACTAGTCTCTGTGTGTTTGTGTCTCCACAGAATACTACTGTTTGTCTGTTACATTATAAATACATCATCACTAAATTATGAATTTCATTATGATTGTAATGCAAAGATTTGTTTTCTTTTTAAAATTGATTGCTAACATTTCAAAGGTTCAACAGTTGAGATTTTACATTTGACCAAAAATTTCAATGAATTATTTTTCTCTCCACTATCTAACGTTGCTGATTTATTGCAACAATTCTTTCAATGTATGTCATGATCTGATCAACACCTAGTTATTAGTCTTTTAATTGGTAATTTTTATTTTATGTTCTACAACTGCTGATGTGCTCACTCCACGAGCTAATAAAAAAGGCATAAAAAAAAACTAGCTGATTGTTTTCTAAGGAAGTTTGACTTTTTAAGTAACATTTTTTTGTTGAAAAACACGTCGTTAGATGCAGCCGAGCACCCTCCTCCTTCCTTTAAGACATAGATCCTCCTCAACTCTGTTTATCTTGGGCATGCTCACAGTCATTTGGAAATTCATCTAGAGTTTTTTGGTTTAAAAACTTAAATGCAATGTCAGGGATCTATTCTGGAAATTTTGGTCCTAAGATTTAAAGGTATTAAAGGCATTACATTTCTGAACAGCACTATTCTAAACTAACATCTAGGTGTTGGGATGTATTTTTTTTTGAGAACCCTTTGAAATGTTACTTTGTATTCATGCTAACATTAAATTGCTGGTAAGTGTGGATTTTTGTTTGCGTTTTTTAAATATATTTTTTTTTCCGCCTTGAATTCTGTCCCACTTGGGCTCAACGCTCTTGTGCAGCATGTATGATGCTGTCCCTTTATTTGACTGTGACAATGCTATGATGTATGATGTTATATTTCCCCCCTCAGACCAACATAGTCCTATCTCTGGAAATAACTACTAAGTAAAGTCAACTGTCTGCAGACGTCCCATATCTTGTGTAAGTAAACCACTTGTTGCCAACTCTACTCACCCCACCTTCCCTCAGTTTTTGTTTAAAATACCATTTCAAGAATTTATTGCCATTACAAGATTAAGATAAAATAACTTAATATAAATCTATATCATCTTTATAATTGCAAACACTCACTTTTTTTTTTCTGTTTAAGCAAAACAAAATACAACAAACTTTAAAGACTATTATAGTTCAATTTTTTTTCAAAACATCAAAAGTTGCTTCAATGCTTTTTGGATCTTGTTGCATGACATTTCCTGCTTTTGTTGAACTTTGTTTTTTCTGATTTTTTTTTTTTTGGTGATTGGTTGAGTTTTGTTTTGTTTTTTGGAAGTTTTTTCAGGCTAAAAAGTTTTTTTTGTATTTTTGGGTTGTTATTATTTAAATTTAGTTTTATGTGGGTTGATTTATTATTATTACAATAATTATTAGATTTTGATTTGCAACAAATGTTGCATATTTCCTCAGATGTGATTTCTTGTTATTGTATGTTAGAGTTCTTGTAGAAATAAAATAAATTCTGCTAGTTTGCTGACCTGAGAAGCAAATCTTTAAATACTAAATTCTAATAATATTTTATTAACAGATGTATACACTTTAAAATGGTATTTAAGAAAATAGTGAATTCATTCTTTCTTAAGAGCATACTTTTCAGTAAATCTTTCTAAAGAATTATTGTGAAAATAACAAAGGATTGAAAGGGGATCAATTGACTGAAACCTGTTTGTTTTTATTGTCTTTTAGTTTTAGAACTATTAGATACTGATACTCTCCGTTGCTGTGCATGTGTCTGCCTCATCATGATCCACTGTTAGCATTGTGTGATTGCTTCATTACTCATTTGGAGCTTTTGTTGAAGATGGGCTTCAAATTTTGTTTTGTTTCTGTTACCTCTACCATTCCTTGTTTTAACACAGTCCAATTCATATTCTATGTTACTAATGTATACAACTTATACTATTGCTTATGTAATGTCATGTTTAGAAAGGCTAATGTCAAGTATTGACTACATAGCAATGTTCAATATATTTGATTTACTGTGTGTAAACAAAACAGATTAAAGAGAACTTGTATTTATTCCTGAACTATGTCTAGTTGTTGGTTTATCTTTTGGTTGTCCTTCACTTGTGTTTGTTTTTCTGTGTAGAGTTTGTCTTTTGGTTATCCTACACTTGTGTTTGTTTTTCTGTGTAGAGTTTGTCTTTTGGTTATCCTACACTTGTGTTTGTTTTTCTGTGTAGAGTTTGTCTTTTGGTTATCCTACACTTGTGTTTGTTTTTCTGTGTAGAGTTTGTCTTTTGGTTATCCTCCACTTGTGTTTGTTTTTCTGTGTAGAGTTTGTCTTTTGGTTGTCCTCCACTTGTGTTTGTTTTTCTGGACCAGTTCCTACTTACAAAATAAGTACTGGGCAAAAGTCTGTAATATTTTTTTGTTATTCAAGTCAAAAACAGTTCATTCTTTCTTACATGGTCAAAAGGTTGGTTTAGTGAGTTTAAAAAAGGAATAGGTATATGGCTTATATTAAAAATAATAAACTCTATTGCTTGTAAATGTATTCTTAAAATTAAAGTATAGATCTACATAACCTATGGACATTGCAAGTAACAAATTGAGCAATTCTTCATTTTCTTTTCCAACCTATAATTTTGAATGAATTACCACTTAGGAGTCTCAATAAATGTATTGCAAGTAACAAATTGAGCAATTCTTCATTTTCTTTTCCAACCTATAGTTTTGAATGAATTACCTCTTTGGAGTCTCAATAAATGTATTAATTTGAGAAGTTAAATTATATAACCCATTAAAAAAAGTTTTGTTTTTTTAAATATTTGAACCATCTGGGCATTATATTGCTCCCCTATAGTCATGTTACACTTGCATTAGCTGATATAGTAAATTTAATTAGAGAACTTATAATTCATGATAAAAAGATCTTTTAAAAACTACTACTCTACATAGTTATACCCTTTTTAGGGGGCAACTGTAGTTCTTTTTAAGTTTGAAGTAATGGTATGTGAAAGAGTCTTTTAATTTAATTTTTTTTTGGTTGAATTTTCAATTATTGATTTCAAATATTGAGACACTATTTAGAGTTTTATTTCTAATCATAAAGGAATCGTACATATATTTTTTTATTTTGTTTATTTTATTTTGTTACAAAAAATGCACAGAAATTCACCATTTATTCCCTACACAGCACTTACCATGAAAAGCTGAACTAATGTGACTTATACTGTTTTCGTCATTTTGTTTTTATGTACACTAAAGTGGATGATTACTAACACAGAAACAAATGCATTTTAAAGTTTGAAGGTTTTATTGCATTACATTTAGACTGCAGGCCAATGTTTCTGAACTTGCAGTACAACAAATCTAAAGAGAAATTAACATTTTTTCCCATAAAACCTGTTTAGCGATTGCTGAGGACAGACATCTTTGATTTTGAAAGTTCAAATGTTTAGTGGTGGACTGTGATCAGGTAGATGGAGCAAGTTAAATGTAGTGGCTGCTTAGTGTCCCCATATGTGATGGACCCTTGATAGTGCATAACATAATACAAAATGTGATAAACTTTTCGATGATCACACTAAATGTTCTTATAGACTGACTAGTCGAATGGCACGCTTTTACACTATCAGGTTATTTGCATATTGCATTGTCCTTGCAGATGTATATCATTTTGTATTAACATGAATTTACTGCATTAAATTTTTTTTTTTGTATGGTTTTATTCAGGTAAGAATGGTGCTGCATTTATTTTTAAGACATTTCTTCTATTTTAACATGATTAAAAAGATCAGGTTATTGAATTTAGAAGCTTTAATTTTGTAATGAACAGGTAGAATTATAATCTATAATCTAGTTAATGTTAACTAAATAGTGCTTCTATGTTTCTACTTTTCACTATTATGTAATGAATAGACCTATTTGAATTAAAAATTGCTATCACCAGAATATATTGGTTTTGATGTCTGATGAAACTAAATGTTATGTTCTTATTGCTAGAAATAAGCTGTTTCTCTCATTGGCTGTTCCTATACATTGTTCCAGGTTATCATTGAGCTTTTCATTGTACTGCTTGATGCCAACTTTGAGCTTTTCATTGTCCCACATACTGCCAACTTTGAAGACGACAAGAATAGATTTTTGTTTTTTTTTAAAGTTGCGAAGATCACCATCACTAGCAGGAAACAACAGCTTCTTCTTGAATTTTAACTCTAAATTGGTATGAATACATTTAGGTCTTCATGACAAGCTTATAAATGTACATTTTAAAATAAAAAAAAAAAAGAAATTATTAATTGCTAACAAAAATTATATTTATGAATAAGTAAAACAAAAATTTTGAGAAAGTTTAATTCTTGATGCTGTGATTTGTTTCAAGTAACACAAGAAATTTATCTTTGCTTACATATTTTTTTTGTTACTTGCAAGTATATCTAGAACTGCAACATTTAATGGATTTTTTTTCTAGGTATTTGTTTTGTGTGTGTGTTTTTTTTTCTAGGTATTTGTTTTGTGTGTGTTTTTTTTTTCTAAAGGGGTGTTTTGTTATCATTTTGTAGTCAACTTTTTGTTCTGAAGGAAATAAACCACTCAGTTATTTAGTGTACTGTAAACCTGGGCGTCTCTTTTATGTTAACATGATCCCAAACTATTGTAGATTATAGTCATCGTTTAAGTATGGTTTAGAGTATATATGTAAAGTGTATAGATAACTATATGTATATATGTCAACCAATATTTGTCATTGTAAGTTGTGGTGAAACTAGTAAATGTCATTGATTAAACCATTTGTATATTTGCCAGATATGTGGAATGTCTTCATTTATTTTTTTATTAATCTTCTTTTGAAATATGCAGCTACTAATTAACTTATCTAGATTCAAAAGGGGAGAAATTTTATTTGAATCATGGGTGTTGGGACCTGTGGGCTATTACCCTGTAATTTTGATATACATGTATTCATTGTTATATTTTGAGTTCAACTATACCCTGTTTGGAATAATAATGTCAATCCCAAATCAGAAGCTGATTCTGTGTTTCAAATACAAAGCTATTGTCCCTCAGACCACCATTACATGTGTCTATGCTCTACATGTTTATTTATACTCAAAAATTATAAAAAATTTAGAATTAATGAACTCAATCAGAAAGTGACATCATTCAAAAGATGTTTGAATTTACCCAGTACCCAGTTTTATCATTCAAAAAATTGCTTGACACATTGAAATATGGTTTAATTCTTTTAAAGCGGGAATATACAAAAACATTTTTTGTTAAATTCATTTAAATCCCTTGCATATATAAAATTCATACCATTTTACCATTTATGTATATGTTACTATATAAAGAGTTGTTTTTTTATTCATTCTCTGCATCATTATTATTTGCACAGAGTTTGTTTTTGTTTATTGTCTAAAGAAATAATTCACAGTTGATGAGTCCACACTAAATGTTTTCTCATTCATCCATCATCCAATGATTAAGTTCTGAATAGTGTCAGCATAACATTTTCAAGTATAGATAGATCATTATTTTAAATAACTGTCAATTGTTTTTTTCTACGGACTCTCAATGTCATCAAATCATTTTCAACTTAGAACTTGTGTTTAATGTGTTGCCATCAGTGGCTGTGTGTCTAGTAGATGTCCTAGTCAAAATCAAATCATTCCACCTGAAGGGCTCCACAACTGATGCAATAGGATTGAAGCAGTTCTATATAATTCAAGCCATGTGTTGTTGTTTGGTTTATTTGTGGATGTTTTGCAATTTATCAATAAAATATAGATTTTAACAATTTGGTCTTTTTTTTTTTTTTTTTCCCATAAAGTAATTGCTGTGGACTCAACAGTTTTGCATCATAAAGAATGAGATGAAATTAAATTTAGTAGCCAACCCGCAGCGTATCATAGCCGCTATTTAGTGACTTGTGAACACTTCTTGAAAGACACAGTTGTCCAAATGGAGTGGGTTTGGGCAAACATTGGGTGCGTGTGCGTGGTGTCCGTATAGTTATAAACAGAGATTACTTGTTCTCTCCCCCCCCCCCCCATTTTTTATCTGAGCCGCGAAAGTTACGTGGGGTACCGGTAACTCTAGTCCGACTTGAAGAAATGAAAGAGTTATCTTTCCATGACTTTTTCATCGAGGGTTAGAGAGTCTGCGTGGTGTCCTGCATGGTTGGGCGACGTAGAGAATTATATACAGAAGATTTCAAATAATTGACAACATCGTTGCTATGGGGGAAAAACATCTTAATAGATAAGTGGGTGGGCAAATTGCGACCCGCGGACACCTACAGAAATAATGTGTGCCCACTGATTACACATATTAAAATGCAAATATATTAAAAATAAATAATTTTAGATATCTATATAAATTATTGAAACTTCTTATCACTTATGATGAAGTGGTTAAATGTCATGTCATTTTAAAAAAATGAATGTAAACGAAGATTATTCTTATTGGCAAGATGTCGAAACAATCAGTCAAAGACACAAACTCAGGCAAGTATATAGTTAATGCTTTGAAGAACTGTGTTGGCTTGGAACAATTGTAACAACCGATGGAGCACGAGCTTTGGCAGAGTTTTTTTTGGACTAAATAAAAGAGTAGGCCTACTAATTCAAACCAAAAACTCGAAACGGAGTGAACTGGAAAGTGTGCGCCAAGTTGCATTGAAAATCTAACATATTGTTGACCCAAGTGATCAAGCCTATCAGAGCCAGAGGTCTTAAGCACAGGCAGTTCCGAAAAGTACTTGAAGAGTTGGAAACAAAACATTCTGATGTTCGGTACCACAGTAGTATCAGCTGGCTTAGCATTGGCAAGATATGGGATCTCAAGGAAGAAATTGTTATGTTCCTTGAAGGACACACTTTGTTACTAATATTTCTAATGAAGAGTGAAAGACACTATCTTTTTCATCGAAAGTATTGCAGTGGGTTGGTTGCACAAGAAACGTACGTGCATGTGACATTTTTTCAAACAAAGCTACCCCCACCCGCCATTTCTCTAGGCAAGCAAGTGAAAACAGATTTTTTCATTTCCCTAAGCTGAATCTATTTCTAGTGAAATGGTTG